TGCGATCATCGAAAGCCCGCCCCGCTAAGGGGCGTGCTTCCGATGACGGCAATGCAGAACGGGCAGTGTGCGCGTGCGCACACCGGCCCGTTCCGCAGCTATCGGGCGAGCAGGCTAGAAACCCGCCGAGAATCATACGATTCTCGTTGGGTTTTCGAGCATGTTGGCTCGACAAAAGACGTGCGACCGTACAGTAGAAACGGCCGCACGTCTTAGTTCACACTGCTCGATTCTCGTACAATCGCGGGATTTCGCCCGATTCTCGTACGAGAATCGTGCAGTGTATGGGCACCTTAACTCTCAAGACTGAATAGAAAGAAATACAAATTATTTGGCAGGTATAACAGCTTCTATTTATGTATTCTGTCTGTATATTAAGCAGTTTGTGTGGGATTCAGATTTAAGATACCTCCTTTTGTCTAACACGGTTTCACTAGAGCCAAAAACTCCAAAGCAGAGCAGCATGCCATATATCTGCATAATGGTACAGATCCAGGTCCTTTTAAGAGCATTGCAGTGACTGTTACTAGTATTAATCAGGGCCGTAGGTACCATAAGGCGAGTGAGGCACTCGCCTCAGGCGCAGCTGAGAGGGGGCACAGCCAGCTCAGGCTTGGCAGGGAGAAGAGTGGCGGCACATGCTCCAGTATCTCCTTGGATCCCTGCTGCTCTTCTCCCGCCTGAATGGGCAGAGGCAGCGTGGATTCCAATGAGAAATGGAGCGCTGCAGCCGGCGGGTTGGAGTGGCTAGGTGGTTTTGAGGGTGCTGTCATCCAGGATGGGCGAGTGGTGAGGAGAGAGAGCAGCTCGGCCAGGATATGACACCGCTCGGCAATCACTCCCACCGCTCGCTTCAGCACTCAGAATGGCAGAGCGGAGGATTGGTATATATCTGTGATATTTACTGATCCTCTTTGTGCAGAGCAAACACTGGAGTGATCACCTGATCATGCTTTACATCACTTCCTGTTCATTCATGAGTTTCTTAATACTCATGAATACTCATAATAGCACTCACTATAGATGCTTCTACCCATTGATAACTGGATGATAATAAATATTTTACTATCACCAGTTTCTGAATGAATGGGAAGCCTCTATACTGAGGGTGCAGATGCTGAAGAAAAAGAGATTGAGGATTCTGTGTCCTCAATTTCTTTTACTATTTCAAAGCGGAAATGTCAGGAGTCTGTTTCCCAGAAGCCCCCCAACAGTAAAAAAAAATATAATAACACCCCCCCTCCCCAACCACACACACACACTCCTGCACACATATTATTAGACATGTGCAAAGACTAAATATTGTCGTTATGGACATAATGAAACTAAACATTTTTTCATTATTTTAGTCATAAGGAAACACATTTTTATGCTATTTTGGATTTGGCCACCAGTGCATTTGTGCCACCATCTTGGAGGCGGGGCGCATGACGCCACTGACGCCGCGCATGCACAGCATCGGGTGACATCACATGTCTGTTGGGGGCACACATTTTTCTGTTCTTGCCTCGGGCGCAAAAGGAGCTAGCTACGGCTCTGCTATTAATACAGTTAATGTAACTACAGTACTTTGTTTTAGGGTAGAGTGATCATTTAAGACACCCATAGATATCATGGGAAAATGCAGTCCACCAATCACAGCAGTGACCCTAATCCTGCCAGGACCTGCTGCTCATAATTCTCGCCAAGCTGTACCACCAACCTGACCATGCAACAAGGCAAAACATCTTCATGCTTGGCAGTTGTAAGTTGCTTTCTAGCCGGTCTCTTCTCTGTGTGTCACACATATCTCTGTATAGTCTGTGTTCTGCTCTGTGCAGCACTGTCAGCGCAGCATGAAAATAAATAAGCTTAGTTAGCCCCCATAGCCCAGCCATCGCTCATTTCCCAGTTCGCATCCGCCCCCTCCCAGCAGCCAGCCCTTCTGTGCGTGTGATTCCAGCACAGTTATTAATCTATCAGCTACAGATGACTGCACCACTTTATCTTAATTTCAGGACAATAAACGGAGCTGTTACTGTGTGACTTGTACCCACCCCGCCAAAGGGGCTCGCAGCGGGTGACTAATTACAAGGGGTGAAGTCAGTAACTCTATCTGTTAAATGGGGCTGTGCTGTTTAAAGCTGATTTCATAGGTGTCAGAAGAATTTGGGAGCGTGGCTGTGAAGGGAACAATATGTGTTTGTTGTGCTTTTTCATGAAACCCTTCAGGATATGAAAATTATCTGTGACTTAAAGGTCCTCATGTATGTAACTGCTATGTCTTCTGCTTAGGGCGGACAAACCACCGTGCTGACAAAGATACAGAGCCGTAAATGATATGTCGCATGGTCTTGCATTCATGTATCATTGAACAGCTCTAACATAACAGCCACTGACTGTCTTGGCACAGCTACCTCCTTTAATACAATGAATATCAGGGGACAATTCATGGGTGAGCTGGAATTAGAGTGACATGAACCAACACCCCATTAAAAAAAAAAAGCACTTTTCCCACACAGTGACATGGTTGGTTTAAAATTCTGCACTGATGCTACATACATCTTGGCAAAGTTTTCCTAGTTTTTTCCCAAGTTTGAAACAGTTTGTACATATGCCAAACGAGCTCATTTTTTTTTCTATCTGCTCAATAGCATATTAAAAAAAACAACCAGAAACACATAACTGGCCCCACTGCAATAACTGGACTTTCAAAGATCAGGTTACTAATGTATGTGCATTTATTTCCTAAAGTGATATTAAACTAAAAAAAAGTTTTTAAAATAGAACTCCAGGATTTTGAAAAGTGAACCCTTGCAGTGGGGCTACCCCCACAGTACAAGGGTTAGCTGCTCATTTTGTCTATAGGGAGTGAAAATAAAGAGGATATACTCACCTGCTCCTTGGTCCTGTGTAGCTGCTAGGGCGGTACCCATAACCTCTTTTTCCCTAGGCCCCAGTGGTCTAAGGATCTGTGACGTCATCACGTCTAATAGAGTGTATCAGATGTGAAGATGCCAAGGGACATACCACAGCTGAAGCAGAGATAGAGAGAGGTAAGCAGTCACTGTCGCAGGACCGAGGATCAGGTATCTCTTCCTTTTTATGGCCCTCGAGAAAAACTAGCAGTTAAGGGCATCAAGGGTTAACTTTTAAAATCCTGGAGGACTTCTTTAAGCTACTTCAAATGCTGCTGAAATCATTTACAATGGATGCTGCTTCATGATGTTTAAAAGTTTTAGTTTCTTGCAGAATCAGCTGGTCCCCTGAGCACTGGTCCTGACTTCCTGTTTTAAGGTGGCTTCTTTTCCTTACAGAGTCCTATGGTTGCTAGTAAGCTGTGTGCGTCTCCACAAACTCACAGGCACAGCAAGCCAGTCCCCTGCTCCCTACTTCTCCAAGCTGGTAGATGGACCTCTGCTGGAGTCTGCTCTGTCTCTTGTGATGTTGTACAGGACGGGAAGTTCAGGGAAGCAGAGCTGAGAGAGATTGAGTCATGATGACTGCAAGTGCTTGGGCAAAAATATAAAGAAACACTTTGCTGGGCAATATATCTTTGTTTGATCTGGATTCATTATTGAAAATAAATTTTGAGAGTTTAATACTATTTTAACCCTTTTGCTGCCACTACGTCGGCGGCAGTGGGCCCCTGTAAACAGACAAGTAACAGGGAGTCTGTGTAAAGCAGATTGTCGGTTTTACATTGGAAATTATTCTGGGAGCTGTAAAGCCGCCTATTCGCTTCAAGGGGCCAGAAAACATATGCATTACCCGCCTGACAACCCGCTCACCTGGCTCAGAAACCGGCAGTGATGAAATCGTTGTAGCTTCCAGTTTCAATTAGCGGGAAGGAGGTTACTGAACGGATGTTTGCTGGTATTTCTCCCTTCTACACGCCGACACCCGCGATGCCGCCCCAGGCATGCAGGAGAGGCAGCAAAGTGCGGGACCAGCACTGCAGGTGTCGGTGGGAACAGGGGAGAGAGACCAGTGAAAATAAATTGAATGCTGCTGAATGAAACTAAAAGCGATGATAATTTCATCACTTCCGGTTTCTGAGCTGGTAGAGAAGCCAGGGAAGAAGCTCATCAAGCATGATTTGTGCTTGATCAGTTTTAACGGGCTGCAAAGTCTTTTAGACCCTTAATGTTGCCTTAAAGAACACCTGTCATCACTAAAGTGCTATCACATAGGGGGCTTGTGAGCCCCCCTATGTTATAGCAATGAAGGTAAATTTAAAAAAAAGGGTTTGAAATAGTTAAATAAAACAACCCAAACATTTTTTTTAACGTTCCTCGCGTATACTAATGTAAACACGAGCCCGGTGCACCGAAATACAAAAACGACAATTGTGCCACACGTTAGGTATAGCTGCGTATGCCAGAGTGAGAGCAATAATTCTAGGGCCAATATTCATAGTTACCTCTAAACTGATGAACTGTACAGGCCTTTAAAACATCATCTATGGACAATTTGGGGTACCGTATTTTTTCACCTTTTCGCAGGTGCACACAATTTCTAAGCTTGACATGCTAGGTATCTACTTACTCGGCACATCCTCATCTTTTTTATTTTAATATTGGGTAATGTGTTTTTGTGCACTAAAATGAACCTAAGTGTACTTTTTACTGATATTTTGGTTTGATAAAGAGTTGCACTAATAACTTGCAACATAAACATTTGCAACTGCCACCATTGTATTCAACAGGATCTGTGCTTTGAGGAAATATATAATTGGGGTAGGGGGGTAATTTTTAGGCCTTAAATATGAATAACATCTGTGCAAAAAACGTTCTTTATGAAGGACAAAAAGAAACAATCTTTTAATGATTACAGAGATTTTCTATACAAAAAAAAATTTGCTAGCCCATATGTCACAAGGGCACCCCTAGACCCCGGATTGTCACAGGAAAAGCTTTACCAGCAACACTTATGTACAGGCACACTACGAGCTGCAGAATATTCCCAAGGATATTTAATAGATTAAATATAAAATAATAATAATGAACCCCCAGACTGACCTTGAATGATATCTCATACTGCTCTCCTCCCCAGATCTCCAACCCGGGATCGTACCCTCCGAGCTCCCAGAACCATTTTCTGTCTACAGCGAATAATCCACCGGCCATAACTGGAGACCTGCAATGAAAGCAATTGTGAACAGCAGTTAGCAGACAATTCACATTCTTGTCCTCATCACTTTCCTGCTGTGCTGGCAATGTAACACAATATTTGTACTGCAGCAGCAAAATGAACGGGATTCCCTGATTCTGCATGGCGTTCTTGGCGATTAATCTAGCTGCTGCCAGAAAAGCTTATAACAGATTGTGGAGCTATGACTTGCTGAGCCTGAAGGCCACAAATCGCATACAGCTCCTGTAATGAAAATATTTAGGTGCCGAGCACGATATAGCAGCATCTGTTCAGTTATAACAGCACACAGCTTTAGAAGCAGGCCTTTACCTATATCTTCAAAATAACAACGAACACACCCTTAGACATGTTTAGTAATGGCAATCTACAAACACATACTTCTAGATAATTGCCGGCTTTGTCCTCTTTGCATAAGTCATTTCTCTTTTCTTTCCCAGCCTTCTGACAGTGGCCATGTTTACTAAGGGCAGATTACTAGATTTCCCTTTACATCCCGGAACTCTGGCACATGTGACTAGGACATGTGACCATGCACATCATCTCAGGGGAGGAAAATGCCTTTCCCTGAGATCTCATGAGATTACAGATGAGATGTCCCAGCAATGCTCTGCTGATGACAAGGTAATCCCAGTGTGCATTGCTTTGGCAAACTGAAGTCATTTTGCCCTTTCAAAGCAGGAAGTGAATGCTCTGCAAGTGTTTGTATTTCACAATCACAGCATTTTACACCTGACATGTCTATGTTATTATTAATCATCATACATAGAGGGATGCATTGGTAGAATCGGATTTTTGAGTGTAAAGGTCCGCTTTAAGTGTATGTAAACCCTATCACTAGGGAAATACATTTGCTAGGCAATGAGCCATTAAAAACTACAATTCCAAATACTTTATTCTCACTGAAAGAGCCAATTAAACATTTTTTTAGGAAGTTCTTCAAAGTGGGAACCCATTTATGCACTGTGCTAGCTAACAATATATAGAGAATGCACTTAGAGGCACCAGTTTCCGATAATGCAAGTACACATTAATAAATGGCTATTCTGGAATGCCATTAACGTGGGATTAAAAAATCAACGCAGCATTAAAGTTTACAGCTGCAGTGATGGTAAAGCTATTGGCTGTGTATTATAAATGTGTAGGATCTGATTGCTCACATATTAATCCGCCTACTACATTTAGATGAACTAATTACTGGATTTCGGAGAGGGAAAGGTGATGCTGGGTTATGTTCTTCAACTATAAAAGAAAACCTTTGCTGAGAAACATATCGCTGCTGTTGTTGCTGACTACATCCTCAAAAACAGGATTTTTGTCTTATCCGTAAAATCTATTTCCTGGAGTATATCACAGGGCACAAAATTCTTTAACCACTTAGGTTATACAGCTACCTTCAGGTGACTGGGCATTGGCAAATCCATTAAGGGTGCAGGACAGCCCTGCATAACCCCTCCCACCCTGTTTTTTTTTTGCTAGAAACCTTAGGTGATGGACCTGTTCTCTCAGCTCTGAGAGAAGTACACTGTTTGCACTATATTTTTCTACAAGACTCTTCTAGCAAGTGTCCCTCCATGCTGCTCTAAGTCGCTGCGGCGCCTCCAGCAGCTATTTGTATCAGTTTTTCTTTGACAGCCTGGTCCATGCCAGATGCAGAAAATTGTAGCGCTGGCCTGTAATGGGCTTGCACAGGACACTGGAGTCTACATTTGCGTTGGGAGGATAGCTGCAGGATGCTCTAGAGTTCCAGGGCTGTGGTCCATTTAGGTTGAGCTCTAATCGTGAAAACCGTCCTGGGGGGGTACGCCCACCTGAAGGACAAAGCTTAGATGGCATGTCTTCCTTGACCATCGCTGCATCCATGATGAGGAAGCAAAGCCATGAAAGTGCCCAGGTGGTAGCCACAGTTATATCTCTGGCTCTGGTGCAACACTTGTGTCATATTTTAGCAGACTTTTCAGATTCAAAATTAAACTTTGCCGCCAGTTCAGTTCAGAGCTATGAGCTGCACCAGCGCAGCCTCCCTCCCGGTACTATACTGTGCCTGCAGCTGATATTTTTCTCTCTCTCTGACATGCGCTCTTGCTGAACACACACTATTGTTGTGCCCAGACACTGCAAGGAAAATGTATCTGAAAGCTGCATCACTCTTATGTCCAGGCCACCTTATGCATGCACATGTCTGGGTACAGGGCACCCACAGGTCATTAGTTTTTTGGAGGTACACATGGTGGATGATGTGGAGATGCCTGGGTAGGGGGCACGGGGGCCAACCTAACAGTGATTCTGGTGAGGGTTTCTTGGAACCCCTGTCCCCTTACCTTCTAGTTTTCAGGTGGTGGGGGTCCTCTCCGCACACCTTACAGCAGTCCTGGCCAAATAAGAACGGTGGTGCTCGCAATGACTATCACGGATGGCACCGTGCAAAATACGAAGTAAAAGAAACAGGTCACCAGCACTCGTTTAGAATAAATATGTCCTTTTTTAATGGACAATTGTGTCACTACAATCAACAGAGCCGACGTTTCGGGGCCACACAGGGTCCCTTCTTCAAGGCAGTAAAATTGTGACGGGCAATTTCACTGCCTTGAAGAAGGGACCCTGTGCGGCCCCGAAACGTCGGCTCTGTTGATTGTAGTGACACAATTGTCCATTAAAAAAGGACATATTTCTTCTAAACGAGTGCTGGTGACCTGTTTCTTTTACCCCTTACCTTCTAGCACACTAATTGCCTACAAGTACATCTCCTTTGTGAAGTGACAGCCAGGTGCACAGCTTTGTCTCATTGATCTATCCATCTGGTTTACTGTAAGAGCATGAATGTTATAGCTTGGCCTGTAGGTTCCTGTCTAGCTTTCCCTATAGATGATGATCCAGTCCTGAATTAGTGATGCCGATGCCGGAGGGTGAGCAAAACAACGAGGGAACTAGAATATTCAGGAAATAGACAACAATTGTTGGCAGCCTACATATTTCTCTTAGGTAAGGTGTGCCTTGAATCTTAGGCCTGGTTCACACCTAAGCATTCTGAGCAGTAGAAAACGTGCTTTTAAATGCTCAACACAAGAATTTCCATTATTTTCAATGGCCCTTCTTCACACCTGAGCAGCAAAATGCCAAACACAGAAAAAAGGACATGGGCTTTTTTATTGGCAGTTTCAAGCTCATTTTTCTCCCATACACTTCAATAGAAACCCCAGGAAACATGCGGCAGAAGCATTATGCACATTTTCGTGCATATTTTTATACGCGTTCGTCCATTGATCGCAATGTTTCTTGAGCTGCCAGTCAAAACGCGCATTTCCATGTAAAAATGTGCCAACTGTGCAAAAACCGCACGTTGAACCCACATGTACAAACACGCAGAAACGATGTTGCCTTGATTTGAATGGAGCTTTAGCTCAAGGCACGGGAATGTGCTGTGGCTTAATGCTAGTAATAAACTGCAGTTCTTCAGAGCAAACACATCAGAGTATCACTTAGCTGTGTACTTGTCCGAGAAATAGATACAAGTGCATGAAACAATGAATATATTTAGAGTTGGTATTGGAAACTTTTCTGAAAGCTGAAACATGTATGCCCCTGGTATTAAAAGAAGAAATGCACCTTTGTGACAGAAATAACATGAATGCTTTTCTGACTAAGTGCCAGCAGCTCAAATCTTCATTGTTGAACAGTACTTTGTTTCAATGAAAGGTATAAAGGAATATACAAAAAGCAAATAATCAGAGAAGTAGAGGAGAGAGCCTGAACGTTTTATAATGTTTTATGAAAGAAAGCACGCCGGGCATCCAATCAGATATGCACTACTCACCCTCAGAACCCCAGACTGAGTCAGCCTAGAACCTTTATACCTAAAGGGATACCAATTTTGACATACCTTTCTGCACAGAGCCCCCTGTATCTACAGGGGACTTTTAAGAACATTAGAAATTGTAATCTGGAAGAACTACAGTGACTTTTATATTTTTTAATGTCTGGTGTGCCATATTTTGACTATAATATTTCACTTACATTTTTGTAAAGGATTCTTCTATTAGTCATTTGTATATCAGGGAATGTATTAAGCATCCCTGTTTAATGATTGCTGAGATACACTCATTTAATCTAGAGCTAGCCTATAGAGATTCTATTGCTTGCTAACAGATCAGAACGGACCTTCGCCCAGAGAAAGCAAGCAACTACTGTCATTGTGTAGCACTACTATGCAGGAAGCAGAGACTACACGAGTAAATGGAAAATATTAGAGACCCATATAGATTTGCATTTAAAGCCAAACTCCAGCTTTGTTTTTTTTTTAAAGCTGAACTCCTTTAAAACAAAATTGGGGGGCTACAGCAGCAGTCACATACGTTTTCCTAGAATGCAAGGCATTCTGAGAATAGATGGCATGAGCACCCATTCGCATTACACCTTGTGAATGGGTGAGGAGACAGGAAGGTAAGGGCACAATGCAATCCTTTCACAGTCGCCTCTCTCATCCCTGTGACGGAAGATCACACCTCTGCGGAGTATCCAGCATCAATGCAAGAATGTTTTTTTTACAGTAACCAGCAGCCAGCAGGATATAGGAGATTCTTCATTAGAGGTAAATGTAACTAGTACTGTAGTCCCCAAAACAATTTTATTGTTAATTTTATGAGTTTTTTTCCTCTTGTTTATAAAATAAATATTTAAAGGATAAGAACTACTTAACCCCCCCCACACTCCATCTAAGGTTGTTACTCCACTTCTGAGTTGAACCAGCATCATTCAACTACTTCCTGTGTGCCCAGACTGTCATGGATACACCCCCTCAAGCACCACGAGCTTGGGCTCACAGTGACTAACTAGCTTGGGCTGCACCATAAGTATCTAATATGTGAGTGTCATTGTAGTCCACCTAAAGCCCAAAACTGGAGATGTAGGAGGAGGTTTAAAATGTATGTATAGCCAAGACTTTTAGTTTTAGTTTTGGATAGAGTAAGGAAGGATTAAAACCCACCTTT